TGTTAATTTGTTCATCAATTATTAACAAATTACTATCGTTGAAATTTAACGATTTTGAATAAAGCTCTCCAAACGAACAAATATCGATATTTTCCAAATCCGCTATGACGGGCACTTTGAAATGTTATTTTAAAAATATTATTGAAAATCCGAATGAAAAAAATTAAAATTGTTGTAGTTATTTTGCGTCCCGCGGAGCGCTTCCAATTTGACGCCGCTCGCCGAAATGGCTGTGGTACCGCCGTTTTTATTATTTGTTTACAATTGTATTTTATTTGGCTACTTTAAGTACAATAAATAACTATCTTTAATATCATGATTTTATTACATTTCCTTCCGCCCGAAAAAATTGCAAAAACATACGTTTTTAGGCTGCTGCAGTGGTGTAACCCCTTTCCGAACTAGCACTGCCATTCTTGCGACATTGTAAATATTCCAAAATAATCGAATGCCGCCATACACGCGGCATAATAACCAAATACTAAGTACCAAAAAGACCTTGGGTTTATATTCCTTAAACACTTTCCACTCGGGAGTCGACTGCTAGTCGTACGCTGCGCTCGGAATATTATAGTGCTATACATATCTCTCAACTCGGAATTTTTTTGTATTATTTTTTTTTTTCAAAATGTGGTAATATTGCTCTCAAATACAGTTATTATGATAATAAAATATAAATTTTTAAATTAAATTCATTATATTCAAAACGCAATATTGTATGTTCATAGTTGCAACGAACGCATTTGCGTACTATATACTTTTTACAATAGATTATCCCTTTGAACCTGAATAATTGTTCATTGTGAAAAATTGAGAAATAATCAATTGTTAATTGTACCATCTGACACGAATAGAAATTTCCATAATTATTTAAATAACATCTTTAGTAAAATTTATATCTCAAATAATTATGGGGCTCATAAGCTAATAAATTAATTTTTTTATATATTTATTTATAAAATAATAAATTAATCAATAAATGAATGTAATAGTGAATTAATTTCAAAAGAATGAAAAAAAAAATATTGTAAGCTTAGCTTGCGACGACACGATTTGCCGCCAGAGCGGCGGCATCCGAGCAGAACGGTAAAACATATCATGCCGCCGGAGCGGCGACATCCGAGCGCAACGGTAAAATAAATCCGAGTCGAATGGGTTAATTTTCAATATGAGCGCAATGCAGTTAGAAGATAAATTTTAATATTGGTCAACAAGCAATATTAGACAAATTCCATTCTATTCAAATCCAATAAAACAATATTAATTCACAACTTCTCTAGCTTTGGAAAAAAGGACTTAATTTCTTAAAACCAACTGGACATATTTTGATGTAATGCGCTTGTTCATTAGAGGTTAATTCTATAAAATAATACAAGATTATTTTGCAAATTACTGCAAATAAACTTTTATGTTATAAAAATTAACAATCTCAAAATTATGTAGCTCCCATTATTACGCAAGAGACAACTTTGAAATTAGAAGATATATTCGGCAAAGAATAAAAGATAAAGCATGGGATGATGTTGAAAGAAAAATAAAAACCATTGATGCCCCATTAGAATATAAGAAAGAACTAGCCTTAAATCAAGAAAAGAGCAAAGAATCATTAGCAAAGATTTATGAGCAGGTAAAAACGTATTTCATATTATTTTGAACTCATGTATAGATAACTTATTTCTTGAAGAAATTATTATTATATCATAAACGTAATTAAAGAAACTGGTGACTTTACAGTCATTAAATATTATTAAAAATAATTTAATTATATTTTATATTCCTATTCAATCATAATTTATAACTTATTTCTTGAAGAAATTATTATTATATCATAAACGTAATTAAGAAATTGGTGATTACAGTCATTAATTATTATTATAATAATTTAATTATATTTTATATTCCTATTCAATCATAATTTATATTTCAATCATAATAATTTCAGGAATATTTAAAACAACAAGCAGCATTATATCCAGATTGTTCTGACCAACCAGAAGAAGTACCAAAGGAACAAACTGCCATTGAACAAATGATGATATCATTATTTGCTCAGCTAGATGCTTTATCAAATTTCCACTACACTCCGAAGACTGTTATGCCAGAGGTATTAAACTTTTAATGAGAAATATTTGGCAATTAACATTAAAAATGGTGATTCATTAAAAATGTTATTCATTATTTTATATTAAATAGGTGAAGATTATCAGTAATTTACCTGTCATTAGCATGGAAGAAGTAGCACCTGTTGCAACGAGTGATGCAACTCTTCTTACTCCAGAAGAAATTCAAAAGAAATCTAAGGGAGATGTGGTTAGTAAAGACGAACGCACAAAAACGGACAAAATTAGAGAGAGACGCCAGAAGAAAATAAGACAGCAAATTAAAAACAAGAAACAAGAAATTATAGAAAAATTGAAACCCCAACTCTAATAAATTTAACAAGCAAAAGCAATCTAAGCTTATCAATAAATTGTTTAAAAACAGAAATATAGGAAAGGTAAATCTAACTTGACCTATTAAAATTACTCAATAGTAAATATGAAAAGCATTTCCAATATATGGTTGGAAATCAGTGTGCTTTTCTAATCAGTTCAAGTCCTGTTATTTATATCAAATTGAAAAAATTAATATAATTATTATTTTATTATTCTAGTTGGTTAATAACACTAAGACTGCTAAGTCTTCTCAAGCATTCTTCACACAATTGCAAGAAGTCCAAGGACAAATTTCAAATAAAATCAAGTCATGAAAAATAATGAGCAAGAAAAAAAGAAATGTATAGCAAAGAAATTGAAGTTGTATATGTATATATATATATATATATATATATATATATATATATATAGTATAATTCTGATTTTGATGTTGAGATATGTATTAAGTTTAATAATTGCGCATAGTATCAATAAAACACAAACTTTTTTAAGAATTTATTTTACATCTATATGTTCATATATATATATATATATATATATATATATATATATATATATATATATATATATATATATGATTTAGTAGTTAATTTTGATGTTGAAAATATATGAGTGAGTTCTTGAGGGCGATACATCAAACAAAGAAAAGCCAAAGATTTATAAAATAATCTTTATTTCCAAACGTTTCGACATTCAATTTAATGTCATCATCAGTGGATCTAAAAACAGTATGTAAATTAGCATATCTAGGTAATTATAATATATGTGGATTGGTAAAGTAACTATACAATAAGAGAAAAATTAACAAATAGCAACACTTAACAACAAATCAAATATAAAAGATAGGAAAGGTAGTAGAGACTAGAATTAAAAAGTATAGTATAATATAAAAAGTAAATATTTTTGCCTATACTTTTAATTATTTATTTAATTCTAGTCTCTACTACCTTTCCTATCTTTTATATTTGATTTGTTGTTAAGTGTTGCTATTGTTAATTTTTCTCTTATGTGTATAGTTACTTTACCAATCCACATATATTATAATTACCTAGATATGCTAATTTACATACTGTTTTTAGATCCACTGATGATGACATTAAATTGAATGTCGAAACGTTTGGAAATAAAGATTATTTTATAAATCTTTGGCTTTTCTTTGTTTGATGTATCGCCCTCAAGAACTCACTCATATTATATATATATATATATATATATATATATATATATGTGTATATATATATATCTACATATATATAAAATAAGTCGGGTTTTCCTTTCTGACGAAATAACTCCAGAATGCACAAACCGATTTGATAATTTTCCATTCGTTGGAAAGGTCTCGGGCTTCGCCAGGTTTATAGCTAAGAAAATTAGTGGTGCATGGCATCGTGCCTTAATGCAAGATTGCAATTTCCAGTTCGCCTTGCGTTTGCAATGACAACTAACAAGTCGCAAGGCCAATCGCTTAGTGTTTGCGGTATAAATTTCAAATAGATTATTTAGAAATCATTGTTTTTCACATGGGCAGTTATACGTTGCCTGTTCATGAGTTGGAAAACCATCTGCAAAAAATTTCTTCATCTTTCTCACGAAACCATCTGGTGGCGAGGTTTATATAAATATATATATATATATATATATCTATATATATATATATAGGGCCGGTCCTGGGGTCTTCAGCGCCCCCAAGCAAGTCTTGTTCTGGCGCCCCCCCCCCTCAATAATTTTAACTGTTTTAACAGTTTTTCATTAAAATTACATAAACATTTACTTTATTTTTTTCAATTAATTTTTAATCATTCTGGGTTTTTCTACACACAGTTTAATACACAAAAAATTAGATATAATCTAAAAGCGTAGAAAATACATTGATTTTAAATTTAGTTAGAAAATTGAGGCGATTCGCGGATTGATCGTAATCAAATATTTTTAAATTCTCAATTATTTCTAACGTAGGTGTAATATTAATATTTGGGATTTTGAAATATTTAACTATTTATTATGCGATTATTCTATAGAGCAAATCACGCCAAAAGAGCAAAAAAGACTAGACTTTATTTTTAAACATAAAAACACTCGCATTTCATGTTTTAAATTAAATTTTATTTCAATTTATATTTTCATTATTTATGATATCTAAAATTAAATCGTAAACTTCTCCTTATTGGTATCGTAAGGGCTGAATTGTATTTAGCTTTACCTTCCCATCAGATTCAGAGTATCAGATTGTTATTTTAAGGTAAACTTTTTAAAGTGTTGACCAACGATTAGTAAAAGATGCAAAGAAATACATCTTCCCTAAACTAGACTGAAACAAACAAATTATATTTGTATCTGTATTATATCTGCATAGTGAATAATTAAATTATGTGTAAAAAAGCTTAAAGACTTTTGTTCCTAAGTACATTTTGCTTCCATTTTTCATATTTGCTCCATAAACCTAACCACGCATGTCTTCAACGTTCAAAGTTTATCAGATGTGAAATATTTGCAACAAAAACAAAAGTTACAATTCATTTTTCGGAATAAACAAGTCATTTTTTGGGCAATGACTCCCCATTTTCTATTTTGTCTACTATAATTAGTATATATTTTTTAACAAGTTCAATTTCAACTAAATCAGCTCACAATTTTTCACCAATAGCGCCCAATAATCGTAGGTTTTCTCTTATGGGATTAAACACTAAATATCTTCATTTTCGATTCCACGTTAATTTTAAACGAAGAAAAAAAATAAAAGTACAATAAGCAGAACAATAATTTACAGATTTGCTTTGTTACTATTTGGTTAATTGTTTCTTTTGATATCACATTGCAAACTGAATATGCTTTTTGTGCCTCATAGTTAAGTTGGATTGTTTATTATAATCTATTAAGTATTCAAGATTTTATATTTAAAAAAAAATATATAAATAATATATTATAAATTTCATTTCCGAACCTCGTTTTGGCGCCCCCTAAGGTGTGCGCCCGCATTTTTTGCATGCATTGCATTCAAGGCAGGACCGGCCCTGTATATATATATATATATATATATATATATATATATATATATATATATATATATATTAATTGTTATATGAACAAAACAGCACTCAGATTTGTTTAACACAACTTTATTTTATGATTACAGACGTTTCGAGACCATGGTGTGTCTCATCTTCAGTGTAATTTCAAAAACAGTTACTTATATACTACACATTCTTTAATAATTTATTTAAATTTCATTTAATTTTTGGTATACAAAAAACACCAACTATTCCTTGCAATGCTTGACACAGTACTAAAGAAACATATAACACTTACAGAAATATTCTAAACAAATTTGAAGTACTTATCTAGATGGAGACAGAATGGGTATCATATAATGTAAACAAAAGGAGTGCTATCGCATACAAAAATCGATAAAAATGAAAAAACAAATTAATTTATTGAAAAGAATAAGATAAATGAAAAAATTTATAAATTATTAATGATGTTTATATATGTGTCATGTAAAATATTTGTGTCGGTTCTTAGATTTATGCTATTGTTAGTCCGAACTATTAACATTGATTCTGCCATGCTCCGTTTAAATAAGTCTTTCTCATGGAATAAAATTTGGGGATTGTCAAAATCAAACTTATGGTTGTTGATATTAGCATGATCCACAAGTGTACTTTTAAATTTTTGTTATCTATTTTTTCACATTGTAATTCATGTTGCCTGAGTCTCTTTTCTAAGTTCTGGCAGGTCTGGCCAATATAAGAGCAATTACAATCCAAACAATTTACTTTATAAACTATATCTTTCTTTTTTGTTAATGGAGTTTCATCTTTAATTTTGGAATATAAAAATTTTAATTGTTTTAATGAAGAAAAAGTAATACGAATATTGTGTTTTTTGAAAAGTCTTTTTGATAATTGGTTAAAATTATTGTCAAGATATGGAAAATTAATGAAAAAAGTTTTTTCAGGAACACTTGTTTTGCCAGGCTCTTCCGGTTTCTTATCAAAAGATTCAAGTAATTTTGCGACTCTATTTTTAATAATTGGACAAATTAACTTATATGGAAAATTATTGCCAAGTAGGATCGTTTTAACTAATTTTATGTTTGTATCATAAAACAGAGGATCAGATAATAAAATAGCGTGATCTACAAGATTTAGAATGGTAGAAATTTTTATATTGAGAGGAACATGCGAATTAAAATTAATGTATCTCCCGGACCAACTATCTTTTCTGTACCAGTCTGTATAACATACACCGCCTCTATTAATGAGTTTTACGTCAAGAAAATGTAACGTCGAATCATTTTCAAGTTCCTGAGTGAATTGTAAAAGAGAATTGTACTCATTTGTTGAAAACATTATCTATATCTTTTTTATTAAGTAATATTAATGTGTCATCGACCTTTGGTTTATTTCAGATATGTCGATGACACATTAATATTACTTAATAAAAAAGATATAGATAATGTTTTCAACAAATTCAATGAGTACAATTCTTTTTTACAATTCACTCAGGAACTTGAAAATGATTCGACGTTACATTTTCTTGACGTTAAACTCATTAATAGAGGCGGTGTATGTTATACAGACTGGTACAGAAAAGATAGTTGGTCCGGGAGATAGATTAATTTTAATTCGCATGTTCCTCTCAATATAAAAATTTCTACCATTCTAAATCTTGTAGATCACGCTATTTTATTATCTGATCCTCTGTTTTATGATACAAACATAAAATTAGTTAAAACGATCCTACTTGGCAATAATTTTCCATATAAGTTAATTTGTCCAATTATTAAAAATAGAGTCGCAAAATTACTTGAACCTTTTGATAAGAAACCGGAAGAGCCTGGCAAAACAAGTGTTCCTGAAAAAACTTTTTTCATTAATTTTCCATATCTTGACAATAATTTTAACCAATTATCAAAAAGACTTTTCAAAAAACACAATATTCGTATTACTTTTTCTTCATTAAAACAATTAAAATTTTTATATTCCAAAATTAAAGATGAAACTCCATTAACAAAAAAGAAAGATATAGTTTATAAAGTAAATTGTTTGGATTGTAATTGCTCTTATAATGGCCAGACCTGCTAGAACTTAGAAAAGAGACTCAGGCAACATGAATTACAATGTGAAAAAATAGATAACAAAAATTTAAAAGTACACTTGTGGATCATGCTAATATCAACAACCATAAGTTTGATTTTGACAATCCCCAAATTTTATTCCATGAGAAAGACTTATTTAAACGGAGCATGGCAGAATCAATGTTAATAGTTCGGACTAACAATAGCATAAATCTAAGAACCGACACAAATATTTTACATGACACATATATAAACATCATTAATAATTTATAAATTTTTTCATTTATCTTATTCTTTTCAATAAATTAATTTGTTTTTTCATTTTTATCGATTTTTGTATGCGATAGCACTCCTTTTGTTTACATTATATGATACCCATTCTGTCTCCATCTAGATAAGTACTTCAAATTTGTTTAGAATATTTCTGTAAGTGTTATATGTTTCTTTAGTACTGTGTCAAGCATTGCAAGGAATAGTTGGTGTTTTTTGTATATCAAAAATTAAATGAAATTTAAATAAATTATTAAAGAATGTGTAGTATATAAGTAACTGTTTTTGAAATTACACTGAAGATGAGACACACCATGGTCTCGAAACGTCTGTAATCATAAAATAAAGTTGTGTTAAACAAATCTGAGTGCTGTTTTGTTCATATTAAACAATTAATATATATATATATATATATATATATAATATATATATATATATATATATATATACAGGGCCGGTCCTGCCTTGAATGCAATGCATGCAAAAAATGCGGGCGCACACCTTAGGAGGCGCCAAAACGAGGTTCGGAAATGAAATTTATAATATATTATTTATATATTTTTTTTTAAATATAAAATCTTGAATACTTAATAGATTATAATAAACAATCCAACTTAACTATGAGGCACAAAAAGCATATTCAGTTTGCAATGTGATATCAAAAGAAACAATTAACCAAATAGTAACAAAGCAAATCTGTAAATTATTGTTCTGCTTATTGTACTTTTAATTTTTTTTCTTCGTTTAAAATTAACGTGGAATCGAAAATGAAGATATTTAGTGTTTAATCCCATAAGAGAAAACCTACGATTATTGGGCGCTATTGGTGAAAAATTGTGAGCTGATTTAGTTGAAATTGAACTTGTTAAAAAATATATACTAATTATAGTAGACAAAATAGAAAATGGGGAGTCATTGCCCAAAAAATGACTTGTTTATTCCGAAAAATGAATTGTAACTTTTGTTTTTGTTGCAAATATTTCACATCTGATAAACTTTGAACGTTGAAGACATGCGTGGTTAGGTTTATGGAGCAAATATGAAAAATGGAAGCAAAATGTACTTAGGAACAAAAGTCTTTAAGCTTTTTTACACATAATTTAATTATTCACTATGCAGATATAATACAGATACAAATATAATTTGTTTGTTTCAGTCTAGTTTAGGGAAGATGTAATTTCTTTGCATCTTTTACTAATCGTTGGTCAACACTTTAAAAAGTTTACCTTTAAAATAACAATCTGATACTCTGAATCTGATGGGAAGGTAAAGCTAAATACAATTCAGCCCTTACGATACCAATAAGGAGAAGTTTACGATTTAATTTTAGATATCATAAATAATGAAAATATAAATTGAAATAAAATTTAATTTAAAACATGAAATGCGAGTGTTTTATGTTTAAAAATTAAAGTCTAGTCTTTTTTGCTCTTTTGGCGTGATTTGCTCTATAGAATAAATCGCATAATAAATAAGTTAAATATTTCAAAATCCCAAATATTAATATTACACCTACGTTAGAAATAATTGAGAATTTAAAAATATTTGATTACGATCAATCCGCGAATCGCCTCAATTTTCTAACTAAATTTAAAATCAATGTATTTTCTACGCTTTTAGATTATATCTAATTTTTTGTGTATTAAACTGTGTGTAGAAAAACCCAGAATGATTAAAAATTAATTAAAAAAAATAAAGTAAATGTTTATGTAATTTTAATGAAAAACTGTTAAAACAGTTAAAATTATTGAGGGGGGGGGGCGCCAGAACAAGACTTGCTTGGGGGCGCTGAAGACCCCAGGACCGGCCCTATATATATATATATATATATATATATATATATATTTATATAAACCTCGCCACCAGATGGTTTCGTGAGAAAGATGAAGAAATTTTTTGCAGATGGTTTTCCAACTCATGAACAGGCAACGTATAACTGCCCATGTGAAAAACAATGATTTCTAAATAATCTATTTGAAATTTATACCGCAAACACTAAGCGATTGGCCTTGCGACTTGTTAGTTGTCATTGCAAACGCAAGGCGAACTGGAAATTGCAATCTTGCATTAAGGCACGATGCCATGCACCACTAATTTTCTTAGCTATAAACCTGGCGAAGCCCGAGACCTTTCCAACGAATGGAAAATTATCAAAATCGGTTTGTGCATTCTGGAGTTATTTCGTCAGAAAGGAAAACCCGACTTATTTTTATATATATGTAGATATATATATATACACATATATATATATATATATATATATATATATATATATATATATGAGTGAGTTCTTGAGGGCGATACATCAAACAAAGAAAAGCCAAAGATTTATAAAATAATCTTTATTTCCAAACGTTTCGACATTCAATTTAATGTCATCATCAGTGGATCTAAAAACAGTATGTAAATTAGCATATCTAGGTAATTATAATATATGTGGATTGGTAAAGTAACTATACAATAAGAGAAAAATTAACAAATAGCAACACTTAACAACAAATCAAATATAAAAGATAGGAAAGGTAGTAGAGACTAGAATTAAATAAATAATTAAAAAGTATAGGCAAAAATATTTACTTTTTATATTATACTATACTTTTTAATTCTAGTCTCTACTACCTTTCCTATCTTTTATATTTGATTTGTTGTTAAGTGTTGCTATTTGTTAATTTTTCTCTTATTGTATAGTTACTTTACCAATCCACATATATTATAATTACCTAGATATGCTAATTTACATACTGTTTTTAGATCCACTGATGATGACATTAAATTGAATGTCGAAACGTTTGGAAATAAAGATTATTTTATAAATCTTTGGCTTTTCTTTGTTTGATGTATCGCCCTCAAGAACTCACTCATATATTTCAACATCAAAATTAACTACTAAATCATATATATATATATATATATATATATATATATATATATATATATATATATGAAACATATAGATGTAAAATAAATTCTTAAAAAAGTTTGTGTTTTATTGATACTATGCGCAATTATTAAACTTAATACATATCTCAACATCAAAATCAGAATTATACTATATATATATATATATATATATATATATATATATACATATACAACTTCAATTTCTTTGCTATACATTTCTTTTTTTCTTGCTCATTATTTTTCATGACTTGATTTTATTTGAAATTTGTCCTTGGACTTCTTGCAATTGTGTGAAGAATGCTTGAGAAGACTTAGCAGTCTTAGTGTTATTAACCAACTAGAATAATAAAATAATAATTATATTAATTTTTTCAATTTGATATAAATAACAGGACTTGAACTGATTAGAAAAGCACACTGATTTCCAACCATATATTGGAAATGCTTTTCATATTTACTATTGAGTAATTTTAATAGGTCAAGTTAGATTTACCTTTCCTATATTTCTGTTTTTAAACAATTTATTGATAAGCTTAGATTGCTTTTGCTTGTTAAATTTATTAGAGTTGGGGTTCAATTTTTCTATAATTTCTTGTTTCTTGTTTTTAATTTGCTGTCTTATTTTCTTCTGGCGTCTCTCTCTAATTTTGTCCGTTTTTGTGCGTTCGTCTTTACTAACCACATCTCCCTTAGATTTCTTTTGAATTTCTTCTGGAGTAAGAAGAGTTGCATCACTCGTTGCAACAGGTGCTACTTCTTCCATGCTAATGACAGGTAAATTACTGATAATCTTCACCTATTTAAATATAAAATAATGAATAACATTTTTAATGAATCACCATTTTTAATGTTAATTGCCAAATATTTCTCATTAAAAGTTTAATACCTCTGGCATAACAGTCTTCGGAGTGTAGTGGAAATTTGATAAAGCATCTAGCTGAGCAAATAATGATATCATCATTTGTTCAATGGCAGTTTGTTCCTTTGGTACTTCTTCTGGTTGGTCAGAACAATCTGGATATAATGCTGCTTGTTGTTTTAAATATTCCTGAAATTATTATGATTGAAATATAAATTATGATTGAATAGGAATATAAAATATAATTAAATTATTTATAATAATAATTAATGACTGTAATGTCACCAATTTCTTTAATTACGTTTATGATATAATAATAATTTCTTCAAGAAATAAGTTATAAATTATGATTGAATAGGAATATAAAATATAATTAAATTATTTTTAATAATATTTAATGACTGTAAAGTCACCAGTTTCTTTAATTACGTTTATGATATAATAATAATTTCTTCAAGAAATAAGTTATCTATACATGAGTTCAAAAATAATATGAAATACGTTTTTACCTGCTCATAAATCTTTGCTAATGATTCTTTGCTCTTTTCTTGATTTAAGGCTAGTTCTTTCTTATATTCTAATGGGGCATCAATTGGTTTTATTTTTCTTTCAACATCATCCCATGCTTTATCTTTTATTCTTTGCCGAATAATATCTTCTAATTTCAAAGTTGTCTCTTGCGTAATAATGGGAGCTACATAATTTTGAGATTGTTAATTTTTATAACATAAAAGTTTATTTTGCAGTAATTTGCAAAATAATCTTGTATTATTTTATAGAATTAACCTCTAATGAACAAGCGCATTACATCAAAATATGTCCAGTTGGTTTTAAGAAATTAAGTCCTTTTTTTCCAAAGCTAGAGAAGTTGTGAAATTAATATTGTTTTATTGGATTTGAATAGAATGGAATTTGTCTAATATTGCTTGTTGACCAATATTAAAATTTATCTTCTAACTGCATTGCGCTCATATTGAAAATTAACCCATTCGACTCGGATTTATTTTACCGTTGCGCTCGGATGTCGCCGCTCCGGCGGCATGATATGTTTTACCGTTCTGCTCGGATGCCGCCGCTCTGGCGGCAAATCGTGTCGTCGCAAGCTAAGCTTACAATATTTTTTTTTCATTCTTTTGAAATTAATTCACTATTACATTCATTTATTGATTAATTTATTAATTTTATAAATAAATATATAAAAAAATTAATTTATTAGCTTATGAGCCCCATAATTATTTGAGATATAAATTTTACTAAAGATGTTATTTAAATAATTATGGAAATTTCTATTCGTGTCAGATGGTACAATTAACAATTGATTATTTCTCAATTTTTCACAATGAACAATTTATTCAGGTTCAAAGGGATAATCTATTGTAAAAAGTATATAGTACGCAAATGCGTTCGTTGCAACTATGAACATACAAATATTGCGTTTTGAATATAATGAATTTAATTTAAATAATTTATATTTTATTATCATAATAACTGTATTTGAGAGCAATATTACCACATTTTGAAAAAAAAAAATAATACAAAAAAATTCCGAGTTGAGAGATATGTATAGCACTATAATATTCCGAGCGCAGCGTACGACTAGCAGTCCGACTCCCGAGTGGAAAGTGTTAAGGAAATATAAACCCAAGGTTCTTTTTGGTACTTAGTATTTGGTTATTATGCCGCGTGTATGGCGGCATTCGATTATTTTGGAATATTTACAATGTCGCAAGAATGGCAGTGCTAGTTCGGAAAGGGGTTACACCACTGCAGCAGCCTAAAAAACGTATGTTTTTGCAATTTTTTTCGGGCGGAAGGAAATGTAATAAAATCATGATATTAAAGATAGTTATTTATTGTACTTTAAAGTAGCCAAATAAAATACAATTGTAAACAAAATAATAAAAACGGCGGTACCACAGCCATTTCGGCGAGCGGCGTCAAATTGGAAGCGCTCCGCGGGACGCAAAATAACTACAACAATTTTAATTTTTTTCATTCGGATTTTCAATAATATTTTTAAAATAACATTTCAAAGTGCCCGTCATAGCGGATTTGGAAAATATCGATATTTGTTCGTTTGGAGAGCTTTATTCAAAATCGTTAAATTTCAACGATAGTAATTTGTTAATAATTGATGAACAAATTAACATATAGAAGATCTTCTATGATGGGCACTTATAAATGTAATTTTAAATATACTGTAAAAAATTCGTATGAAAAGAGTTCAAATTGTTGTAGTTATTTTGCGTGCCGCGTTGTAAAATCGTGTTTGGAGAAAAACGCGTTTAAAGTTTTGAAATAAATTATAGATAAGAAAAATAAAAAAATTGTCAGTTTAATTTTTTCTACTATTAATCTGATATTCCAGCTACATACAGATGGATTTTTATTTTTATAATTTTTATCTTTTCTTCCCTTGATGATTTAATATTAGAGCGTCCTACTTCTGACGCATTCGACAAAGACCGTTCGGCATGCTTAAACTGTTTTTAATCGACTAAAAAGGAGAACCCGCGCGTTGCTCGTCTCGGATTTTGATGAAACTTGGCACAATGGTAGATTTGATGCCCAAACTGACTCCGGTAAAATATTAGAGGCCTATGAAAAGCGGTTTAATTATAAAAATTAATTAAAGTTTGCATTGTAGCAGCGCGCGGCATGCATAGCTTGCGATGTTTTTCCTTATCAACAGCAGATTGGCCGAGTGGCTATCGTCGTGGAATTCTAATTTTTGCTCCGGGGTTCAATTCCCGATTCAGATATATTTTTTTTTATTTGATATTTTTAATTTCACGTGTAAATAATATCAAAATTTATTTGATTTTTTAATTAATTTTATATTTTTCGCTAAATATTCTATAATAAAGTCCTCCGAAATACCGGTAAATTTTTATGTTGATATTACTTATGATCATATAAATGTTAAGTGATTCCTGAAACATTATAATTTTGTATTAATATCAGCAATAATACGGAAGAAGAGATATAATTTATTTCCATATAAAAACTATGTTCAAATTTACTATTTGTACGTTTGACCAGCCCAAGAATCTAATATTAATATAAAAAATCCTTTTCGACATATGACTTGAAAACATTAATAAAATTTATTCACTGCAGCACAATCTCCACGATCCCCGCAATTGTAAATTTGAACATAGTTTTTACATGGAAATAAATTATATCTCTTTTTCCGTATTATTGCTGATATTAATACAAAATTATAATGTTTCAGGAAAATCACTTAACATTTATATGATCGTAAGTTTCATAAGTAATATCAAAATAAAAATTTACCGGTATTGCGGAGGACTTTATTATAGAATATTTAGCGAAAAATATAAAATTAATTAAAAAATCAAATAAATTTTGATATTATTTACACGTGAAATTAAAAATATCAAATAAAAAAAAATATATCTGAATCGGGAATTGAACCCTGGAGCAAAAATTAGAATTCCACGACGATAGCCACTCGGCCAATCTGCTGTTGATAAGGAAAAACATCGCAAGCTATGCATGCCGCGCGCTGCTACAATGCAAACTTTAATTAACTTTTATAATTAAACCCCTTTTCATAGGCCTCTAATATTCTACCGGAGTCAGTTTGGGCATCAAATCTACCATTGTGCCAAGTTTCATCAAAATCCGAGACGAGCAACGCGCGGGTTCTCCTTTTAAGACAAAAATGACATGTTTAGATGCCAATATTAATCTCCAAAACTATTTTCATTTATAAAATATTGCTTAGACCATAGTTGAAATTATCCCCAGCAATATCTGCCACAACATAGTCAACCCTTATATGTCTTGGCCTTGCACTGATCATCTATTGGTTAAAAATGCAATTTACAGTTTATTTATGCAATATAAATGTTTAATAATAACATATATTAGTATATTTAAGAAGATTCACGTTGTCATTTTGCTTTATAATATTTTTTTGTTAATGAATTTGAGCAGTGTCGGATTCGGAGCAGCCCGATGCACATGGGAAAAAAAAGCTCATAATTACAAGTAAAAAAAGAAAGTTTTATGTATGAAATATATTTCCTCATGTTCTAAAAGTACATTTTAACCCAAAAAATAAGCTTTTTTGGTTTTTCGAAAAATCAAAGTGGTGTAACCCCTTGAGGGTGAAATTATTCTAAAATGACAAATTCTTGTGATATTTTTTCTTATTAAACTCAGTTTCATAGTTGATAGCCTTCAATAAAAATTCAACCCAAAGTCTCAATGTTTGCAAAATTGATTCTATTATTATAGAAAGCCAATAATTTACCTGGTCTTGCCAACAAATCAAATTCTAAAACTTCTTCTAACAAGGAATTTTGAGGCCTATTTGCTGCATCAATTTCTCCTTTAAGCTGCCATGGTCTTTGAGCCAATGCTGCGTTCTCTAAATGATCAATTTTCTTTTTTAGTCTTTCTTGCCTAATTTGAAAAGTAGATTTTTCCTCTTGGTTGTTTCCTGGATTTAAGTCAGGCTTATCTAACACATAATCATCTGATGAATCATCACCAGATTCGCTTTGAGATATCTGAAATCTAAGATAATTATGTAACAAAGAAAATTAAATATTTATCTTATATATAAAAATGGAGCTCTCTTTCAAATGTCCAAAACTCAAAAACAGCTGAATCGATTTGGCCAATCTTAGTCTTGAAAAATTCGTGCCAATCCAGAGAAAGTCCAAAAGGTGAGAAATTATTTCAAATCCGCGTAGAAACTTTACATTTTTAATTTGAAAATTTTAGTAGAAGCGTAATTTGAATAAAACAATGGAGGGTGGCTAATAATTGAAATGTCAAACTATTTTGACAGATGATGTTCAATTGCATTTAATAGGATGCTTTACATGAATATTATTTAATTATGATTGAATTGTGATAAGGAGGTTTGTTTGTAGTTTTATTTATATACAAAAACATTAGTAAACGGGCCGGAAGTGTTACTAGAAACTAAATATCAACTTTTTTGAAATGTTAATATGAAAATGCACTTTTTGGCATATTTTTTTCAAACACGGTGCTCTGATAGATCTCATTTGTATAAGTATATACTCATTGGTATTTATAAAACATTTTCAAAATTCAAAACCTAAATTTGGTATCGATCAAAGGTACATTTTGCCGAATAACATTTTCCCAGTTATAATTTCGCACATTTTATCGAAGAATAGATAGTAATGTATGAAGGTCCGAGGTTAAAAAGATCCACTAGCAAGGTGTCAAAAACCAGTAAAGTTAAGGAATTGAAAAGTAGAGGGACAAAGATGTATAATTAGCTATAACCTTGATTCTTATGACTTTGCTATCTGGAGATAAATGTTAACCTTTGAAAATCCATAATAAAAGTATTTTCTTCCGTTGGTAGTTTTTCAGCATTAGTTAAAAGTGTAAATTTTTTGTAAAATACCTTTAAAATTAAAATAAGACATTAAACCTGTTTGCCACCTGGCCGTTCCAAGATACCCTGTCTATGGGGTAAAAAGGTCTAGATAAATTTTTTAAAGGCATCAAAAAGCAGGTCAAAGAAGAAATACTTAATTCATTTTCTATCTCTCCTCGCAGAAATTTGAAAATTTTGTATAAACTCAGTAGTTTATTTACAATTATACACAAAATCCAGAATCCAAAAAGAATCTGAAAATCTTGAAACGTAATCAATAAGTCGAAAGACCAAAAAAGACTTGGATGGGTTATACTATGTTTTCTATAGAAAGTGTATAAATTTTTCAGTTTGATTGTATTGACAAAATATAGACAAACTAATGAGGTTTATTGTTTTTATATTACCTCATTGCATATAGCATTCAAACAACACATCCTCTAGATTCTCTAGAAATTGTGTAGAATATATCTTACTTAGCAAAACAACGTTTGCCGAGTCAGCTAGTAATAAATAAATTCATGCTAATCAATTATCTCTTATAAATAGGAAAATGTTCAAATCATACTTTATGCTTTTATGAATTAAATGCGAGAGATTTGTATTAGTACTTAGAAATAACATTAATAATTATTGCTAACATGTATAAGCATCCAAAGATATATAGAACCATTACTTATAGTTTATATTAAAAATACATTACTTCACTCTTTTCATATTCTTTGATTTATCATCACTGTCATGATAATTAAGGTTATCATCGTCCAAATCATCACAATCTTCCACATTCACCTCATCCATTAGCTCATCTTTCTGATCGTGATTTAAATCCTCAGGAGCATCAAAAAAATCCTCATATCTTGGATATTTTTCTCTATTAGTTTCATCCTATAATTAAAATATCTAAACTTTATTATATATAAATTATTATACATATACATACTTGACAGAATAATTTGGATATACAGAATTCATTAGGAGTTAAAATAAGTTAAATTTCTCTATTACTCACATCACTATAGTTTTCGTTATATACATTTTCATCATCAGAAAATAAGTTGGCATCAAGATCTTCAAACAAGTCAATTGAGTTATCGCTATCACCATCACGATGAAATTTTTCTTGCATACCATTCATATTCTTACAATCTTCCTCATTTAAAAATTGTTGTAGTTCACAGAATTTAAAAAATTTGTCATCAACTATAGATGATTTGTAAGGCTTCCGAATAGCTTAAAAATTTTGAATTGAATAACTTATCAAAATAAAAATAATTTTCATTCATTAATTTAAAATAACATAATTTTATAGCGATATTTGAATATATACCTTCACTATTTAGGCATTTTGCTTTAGAATTATATTTGCCAAAGATTTCAAGAAGATTTTCGTCACAACTGTCTTCAATGTTGCCTATGTTAACAACATCTGACATTTCATCTCCGACATCCTTATGTTTATATTCATCATTTTCGTCATCATCATCACTATCATCTGATATTCTATCTTCAATGTCATATTCATCATTAGCAACCCTTATAATCCTATCAATATCAGCGTCAACATTACCATAATTACAGAACAGTAAATGCTGTTTATTAAAACACAGTCGAGAAATATTAGCCAAAAACCCATTCCAGGTACTATTATTTTGTAATTCCAGTTGTTGCCAAATTTGTTCTTCATCAAACTTGTCTATAATCATTCGTTGTAATGCCTGACTGTTATGATTTGATTTATCGCTTGATTTAGTATGATCATACAATTTTTTTAACTCAGTTTTAAATTTCAATGCATTATCCTCTTGAACACTGTAAAATTCACATTTCAAATATGCACAGAGATTAAATGACCAAAACAAACCAAATTTAAATGTAACATTATGCGAAAAGTAAGATTAATTGACAATTACAAACCAAAATCTTATAAAAGCAATTAATAGAAAACGAGAAAGTAATTATTATTAATAAATTTCATAGAAGCAATTTAAATATTTCATAAAAATTATATGCACATGTATAACATACAATGTAAGCACTACTAAATACCTTAAATACAGCTCCGGTTTCTTGGTTAAAGATTTAAACGCGCTCAAAATGCTGCTTAAAATATTTATATTTTCATCCATCATACACTACTTTCTTTTAAGCATTTCCGTAATAAATATGGGCAAATAAAATTCAAGTCTTAACCTAACTTATTCGGATTTAGTGAACATGTTTCCAGACATTTTATTTATGGCAATACTAGTTAATTGTCAAAGAATTTTTGGTGCTGCATGGCAATATCTTTGTTTAATCAAAGGTGTCATTGATTTGCCCTTCAAGTGACATCTAGATATCCACAGTTATCAGTTACCCTCAACGTTTAAAAGCGATCGCTAAATTGCTTGTCTTGTTGGCGTATATCGAGTGTTTCAGGAAGTAAGTTGCTTGCACGTCTACTACATTTCATTTTAAAATTTCAATACTCAGTCCAACGTCTTTCAAATACTATTTTTAATCGTTGTTGTAATTAATGTTTAGGTAACGCAACATGTCTAACATTGGTATAAATGGTTTTGGTCGAATTGGGCGTTTAGTTCTACGCGCCGCAGTTGAACGCGGTGCTAAAGTAGTTGCCATCAATGATCCTTTCATTGAGTTGGACTATATGGTATATTTGTTTTTGTATGACTCCACTCATGGTCGTTTTAAAGGAGAAGTGAAAGCCGAAGGCGAATTTTTAGTCGTCAATGGAAACAAGATTCATGTTTTCTCTCAACGCGACCCGGCTGCTATACCTTGGGCGAAAGCAGGAGCTCAATATATTGTAGAATCTACGGGAGTTTTTACTACAACTGAAAAAGCTTCAGCTCATTTAGTCGGAGGAGCAAAGAAGGTCATCATTTCAGCTCCTAGTGCAGATGCACCAATGTTTGTTTGTGGTGTTAACTTAGAAGCTTATGACCCGTCCATGAAAGTTGTATCTAATGCTTCTTGCACTACCAATTGTTTAGCTCCTTTGGCTAAAGTTATTCATGATAACTTTGAAATCGTTGAAGGTCTTATGACTACAGTCCATGCTACCACAGCCACCCAAAAGACTGTGGATGGGCCTAGCGGTAAGTTATGGCGAGATGGGCGTGGAGCTGCACAAAATATTATACCTGCCGCAACTGGCGCTGCTAAGGCTGTAGGCAAAGTCATTCCGGCTTTGAATGGTAAGCTTACTGGTATGGCGTTTAGAGTACCAATAGCAAACGTTTCTGTGGTTGATCTTACTGTAAGATTGGGTAAAAATGCAACTTATGAAGATATCAAGAACAAAGTTAAGGAGGCATCTGAAGGCTACTTGCATGGAATTTTGGATTATACAGAAGATGATGTTGTGTCTGCTGATTTCATTGGTGATACACACTCATCGATCTTTGATGCTAAAGCAGGAATCCAATTGAATGATAACTTTGTCAAGCTCATTTCGTGGTATGATAATGAGTTTGGTTATTCAAACCGTGTGGTTGATCTTATTAAATACATGCAGAGCAAGGATTAAATGAGAATTTATTGTTAAAATGTAATTTTTATACTATGAATTAAATTTCATAATTATTCAAGCTTTTCATTTTACAAGTAATTTATTATGTCAATATATTATTTACAGCCATAGTTTTTGCTACGAAGTGAATTTGCTACCATAGAATGTTGTGATACTGAAATCAAAACATTTAAATTTTATTATATAACCTTGCTAATACAAATAAATTTAAACTTGCTAATAGCTCATAAACTACTTCAAATAAGTAGCCTTGACTTTCTAATTTTGGTTTCTTGAAATCATTTGCATACTAGTATTTCATCAAATTTAAATACTTGCCTTCATAATAAGTTAATACAAATCTAGATATCAAATTCAATCAAATAAGACATTAATATATATGAAACTTTATTTCTGACAGACTCGAGCTAGGCTTAAAAAACTACATTTTTACAGATGCGATTAATGAAAATTAAAGTTTGCTACTAATCCAGATCTATCCTTGATTCTGTTTTTGCTGCTAATGTGCCACAATGAAATTTAGATGCTCTCATTTTCTTAAAACTAAGTGTTAAATCATCCATTGTAATTGGTCGTAGAGCATCATGAAATTCCTCTTCTGCGTCTTGTATGTGTGGCACCAAAGGTGATTCAGTGTGCATATAATCTCTAACTCTATACACAGAAGCATTTCGGCATAATTCCCTTAAGTCTGATCCTGAAAATCCCTCAGTGAGTTTAGATAATTCATCTAAATCAACTTCATCTGAAATAGGTTCATTTTCTAAAATAAGCTCTAGTATCTTGAATCTTTGTTGTCTTATGGGCATGCCAATATGGAATGTGGCTGGCATACGCCGCAGAATTGCTCTATCTAAATCTTGAGGTCTATTTGTTGCACCTGAAAATACAGCATTTTATTACACATATTTAAAAGCATTCATTAATTAAACTCACCCATGATAATTACAGTGCAATGGGGATCAGTATTCAAACCATCCCATAATGACATAAACTGCGCTTTCATCATTGCAGTAGCCTCATGATCATGTGAGTTTCTACTCCGGAGAAAAGAATCAATTTCATCAATAAAGACTATACAAGGCTGTAATTTAATGGCAAGTGAAAAAACAGCAGCAGCAAGTTTTTGTGATTCTCCATACCATTTGTCAGTTAAAATTGAAACATCGAGATTGATAAACCTTGTACCTGCCTCCTTGGCAGTAGCCTTTGCAATTAAAGTTTTTCCACAGCCTATTCAATTCAATAAAAATTTTATATATATATATATATATATATATATATATATATATATATAATCTTATTAATACTTGGTAGCTTTTTGTGTACTTATGTATGTGTATACATGTGTATGTATATATGTATAAGTATATGTGTAATAAGGTTGTTGTATGTGATTATATGTGAGTGTTTTTATATATATGTAGATGTGTGTTTGTGTGATGTATGTATGTGTATATATGTGTATGTATATATGTATAAGTGTTTTTATATATATGTAGATGTGTGTTTGTGTGATGTATGTATGTATATATATATATATATATATATATATATTAGGGTGGTCCTTAAAATGGTCATTTTCGAATTTCCTTGCTCCCAGGGGCTCAAATGGTTCCAAATTGATAAAAAACAATTCTCTGATAATTTTAGCTCTTAATATTAACGTTTAGATAGAGCGCAATTCAATCAAAGTTTGTATGGAAAGAGCATGGAAAAATTTTTGAAAATTAAAAAAAAATGTTTTAAGTATAACTTAGCGACAAATGAATGAGTTTTATTCATTCATTTGTTCGCTAAATTACATTTAAAAAACATTTTTAAAATTTTTGAAAATTTTTTCATGCTATTTCCATACAAAACTTTGATTGAATTGCGCTCTATCTAAACGTTAATATTAAGAGCTAAAATTTTCAGAGAATTGTTTTTTATCTATTTGGAACCATTTGAGCCCCTGGGAGCAAGGAAATTCGAAAATGACCATTTTAAGGACCACCCTAATATATATATATATATATATATATATATATATATATATATCTTCTATATATATAAAAAAAAGTCGGGTTTTCCTTCCTGACGAAATAACTCCAGAACGCACGAACCGATTTCGACAATTTTGCATTCGTTGGAAAGGTCTCGGGCTCCGCAAGGTTTATAGCTAAGAAAATTAGTTGTGCATGGCATCGTGTCTTAATGCAAGCTGCTGGAACTTCACGCACCGTAATTAAAAATTCGAGTGATAAAAATAATCAATAACTGTTTTAAATAACTTCAAATAGATTATCTTCTATATATATAAAAATAAGTCGGGTTTTTCTTCCTGACGAAATAACTCCAGAACGCACGAACCGATTTCGACAATTTTGCATTCGTTGGAAAGGTCTCGGGCTCCGCAAGATTTATAGCTAAGAAAATTAGTTGTGCATGGCATCGTGCCTTAATGTAAGCTGCTGGAACTTCACGCACCGTAATTAAAAATTCGAGTAATGACATTAGTGAGAATTATCAGAATTATGCTTGGTTAAGTCAACGAGCAATTCTTGCCGCAAAGAATAATGATGTACAAGCCCTGAATTTCACCATTCAATTAAAAATTGCTGGCGATTTGGTGATATACCAATGATTCTGACTGGTCTTCCGTTTGACTTCAAACGATTGCAATATCCAGTTCGCCTTGCGTTGGCAATAACACGTCGCAAGGCCAATCGCTTAGTGTTTTCGGGATAAATTTCAAATAGATTATTTAGAAAATCATTGTTTTTCACATGGGCAGTTATACGTTGCTTGTTCACGAGTTGGAAAACCATCCGCTTTGTTTGTGTTAACGTCACACCAAAGATCACTTCCATATAACGGATAATTTGCGGATTCACTTTCATTTACTTAGAGAAGTTCAACTAAAAAACACTTCATTTTTGTAATCAAAATAAATTCGTTACTGTTGTATAATAAAATCAAATTTTTCCTTTTAAAATATAAAACAAACAAAATTTTTTTCATCTTTCTCACTAAACCATCTGGTGGCAAAACGGAGTTCGTCGGGTTTGCTAGTATATATATATATTATTGCGACCCAATGGTTTAACTATAACTAGTATATTACTAACTATAATATACGCTACGCATATATCCGATTCTCAGTTTCTCAACATTGTATTCATCCCAAGAATTGTATTAACATTGTATTAACTCATATCGAGTAACAAAAGTATTATAATCAAAAATAGGATCGATGAACTTTTTCCCAATGCGTACGTGATCCTCTGCACACGACGCAATAATTCCTATGAATTTCGATCGGGGAATCACATAATTTGCACTCAGACATATAAATAAAATTTGGTTTATCATATCCTAAAAGGAGTAAAGCCCCTCTTCTAAATAAAAGGTTATATAAAGCCGAAAATCGAAATGTAACTTAATGTGGGCAGTTGTGTAATTTTCGTATAGACGACAGCATCTCAGAGTATTAATGAACGGGAAAATAAATGTTACATGAGAATATTGTGTTTAATTTGAAATTATTATATTACTATAACATCTAACGAAATTGGTTGATGAAGTATATATATATATATATATATATATATATATATATAATATATATATAATAGATATATATATATATATATATATATATATATATATATGTGTGTGTATATGTATGTATGTATGTATATGTACAGGGTGCGCCATTTAGACCTGCGGTATTTCAAAGTTGAATAACTCTGTCGGTAATTATCAGATTTTGACAAATGAACAAGATTTATTTAGGATATTTCATGCCATTTATTTCAAATCAGGTTTAAAATATAACGTCGATTAAATGACCACCTTTCATTTGATACACAAAAAGCAGCATTGGCCAGCATTTCAGGCGTTATAGCAGCTATTTCGGCCTGTATGTTACCTTTTAATTCGTCGATTGTCTTCAGCTTGCTGGCATAAACTTTGCTTTTTAAATAGCCCCAAAGAAAAAAGTCAGGTTCGGTTAAATCTGAAGAACGAGGCGGCCACTCCAAATCACCATTTTTCGACACAACGTGTCCCGGGAACTTGCGCTGCAAAAACTGCATCGTAGCAACTGCGGTGTGGCAAGGTGCGGTGTGGCAAGGTGCGCCGTCTTGTTGAAAATAAAAGTTAGTGAGGCCTTTTTCACGCATTTGCGGACACACAAAGTGCGCCAACATCCAACGATAACGTGCGCCGTCGATGGTTTCTCCAACTTTGAAAAAAAAAATGGTCCGATGATGGTTTTGGAGCACACTCCAGCCCAAACAGTAATTTTTTGATCGCGCAGTGGTGTTTCATGAATCACGTGTGGGTTTTCTGTTCCCCAAATCCGACAGTTTTGTTTATTGACTCCGCCGGAGAGGGTGGAACGATTGTTTTCAATGTAAAGCGTTACGATTTCAGCGCGTTCTTTCGGTGTGTATTGACTCATGTCTAAAATGGCACTAAATGACGTTTCAGAATCATGCTCATTTGTCAAAATCTGATAATTACCGACAGAGTTATTCAACTTTGAAATACCGCAGGTCTAAATGGCGCACCCTGTATATATATATATATATATATATATATATATAAATATATATGTGTATGTATGTGTATGTGTATTTATATATGTATGTGTATGTTGTGGGTATATAGGTATTTGTATATGTGATGTTTTGCACTATGGGTATGCATTTGTATATATAGGTATATAGGTATATAGGTATATATATATATATATATATATATATATATATATATATATATGTACATATATTTTTTAAATTATAATAATTTAAAACAAATTTTATAAACAAACCGTCTCATTTCATAGAACATTTTTTCTCCTAACGACATCTATTTTTCAACTGGACCCTAATCCTTCCTTTCCTATCTGATATCGCGTGACTAACCACTTTAAAACCACTTGAAATCGAATAGAGAATTCGGACACCGACGACCGTTGGTGGGGCAGAAAACAGTATTTCGAACAACGTGTAGCGGATAACACATAATGCTAATTTAGGTTTCCATATTTTAAATATTAAATTATAACACACTGATGATGAGTCAAACCTAGTATAACTAAACTAATATCAGTTATGTTTATGAACAACTCTAAGATTAACTTAATAACAATTAATATTTATCTTGGATTAAAAAATTCATTAATTGAATAGATAGGTTGATCTATAAGATGTTTTTTAACGGCAGCATTGAAACCATTCCTGCTTTGACTCTTCCACTCATTGGGGAGCCTGTTGTAGATCTCGACACCCAGCTTGTTCCTTTGCGAGGATTTCAGCTTCACTTTTGGAGGTACAACAGCACACCTGTTCCGCGTGTTATGGCCATGGACAGCACTCCTCAGTACATGGTTTGGTCTGTCTGCATGGACCGCAATCGCCTGCTGGTAGATGTAAAGGCTGGTAACAGTCAGTATTCTAAATTTAGTAAACAAGGGTCTGCAGTGCTCCCGAGGTGAGGCCCCTCCGATTGCCCTTACAGCCTTCTTCTGTAAATCCATTATCTTGGAGGTATGCACCGAGTGTCCCCATGCCAATATTCCATATGAGAACACAGACTGAAACATGGCAAAGTAAGCCTCTCTGGCGCATTCCTCATTTATAATGTGTCTAACTCTTCTGATGGCATATATTGATTTTGAGAGCTTAGTACATATTGAATCTATGTGCTTCGCCCAGGTTAGCAGGCTGTCCATAGTGAGACCCAAATATTTAACTTCCCCTCCATGCAGCTCCTTATGTCTCCTACTGGAAGTAAAGTTAATATGGACAGTGTTCCTATTGTTTAGTACAATTTTGTTGGCCGAAAACCAGTTTTCAACTTGCTTGTGAGCATATTGAATTTTTTCATTCATATTTGCGATGTTCTCGTCCGCAACCGCCAATGCCGTGTCGTCTGCAAATTGCGTTGTGTGGCAGCAAATGTTCGGTGGTAGATCATTCACAAATATGATGAAAAGAAGTGGTCCAAGAATACTCCCTTGGGCAACCCCTGCATTTAATCTTGTTATCTCACTTCGTTTATTGTTCCATTCCACAAACTGATACCTGTTACATAGGTATGATTGCATTAGTTTAAGGGCTACGCCTCTAAATCCATAATATTCCAGTTTCCTGAGAAATATGTCATGTGGAACCAGTGGCGTAACTAGACCCTCCGGGGCCCGTGGCAAAGTCTTCCGATGGGGCCCCATCGTGGTACTCAAT